AATTATTTCAAAATGAGAAATATGAAAAAAAACAATTGCCAAAGTTGACAAGGGATTTTTAACGTTGGACAGATCATTGCTGTAATTTTCAGGTGAACTTGCAGACAGGCTAAAATCTCATTTTCAGGGCATGTTCAATTGTCTACATGTAGCAGGCTATAGAATGTAATAAATGCTTAAGTGATGCCCTTGTTTTAAGCCAGCAACCTCTTTGCTAGTGAAAACCTCTTTGCTACTCCTACTCCTGTACTACTATTGTGTGGTACTGTACATGTAAATACAGTATGGAACATTTTTCTCAAATTCTTCTAGGAAATTTGAGAAGAAATTGTAAACTTTCTTCCCCTTTATCACTGAGCTAGCTAGCTAACCACAAGTCTCTCTGTAGGTCAGTGTTTGAAGTGCACAACAGGTGTCTGGGATTAATTCATGGGTTTGAATCCTGTTGGGTACTCAGACTTTTTCCCCCTTTGTCCAATGCTCAAGACAACATTTCATTTATCATTTATTCACGAAGCAGCAAATTTACCGTGTTTCATTGGTTAACAGTGCTTTGTTTGGAAATGTTATTGCTAACAACAGTCTTACTGACAACATAAATTATTTGTTATTTCTCTTTTATAGAGGATGTACTGAAACAGGACAATGGAGAATGTGTTATATGTCTGGAAGACTTGTGTATAGGTATGAAGCATTCCCTGGTCCTGACTGCAAATCTATTTAGTGAAAATCTAACTTTCACATATTGTTTAATTTATTTAATTTATTTTTTGTTGTTTTGTAGGTGATAAAATAGCAAGGCTTCCGTGTTTGTGTATATACCATAAGAGGTAGGGCACCTTATTTTTATGGCAGCCTTTGATGCCATAATCACATCTCCCTTCTTGTGAGTTGCTTCCTCTTTTTTCAGAGATATTCTTGTTTGAACATTCACACTACACAAATTATAAAGCTGTCAGGCTGGTTAAACAATTATTGTAGCATTTCAACACAACATTGTTGGGTGGAAGATGTGTCACATATTTTGTCACCCTGTAGCAGCATGTTGGCTGTTTTTGGCTCAAATTTGACCATTTTTAAAGTTGACTTAACAACTCCCAACATGTCGCAATTGTTGGAACAGGCTGTCCAAATGGTGTAATATGTTGCACCCAACAAATTATGTTGGGATATGTTGTGTTAAAATGTTGCGATCGCTTGGGCGAGACTTAACTAAGGACTACTACTTCTGGATTTCTTGTCTACAGTTTACAATACAATAGTTAGTAAGAAGTTACCAAAAATATTCATATTTATCACTCACTTGAGGATTATTCTTTGTCTTGTTTCAGTTGTATTGATAATTGGTTCCAGGTGAACAGATCTTGTCCGGAGCATCCAACAAATTAGAAATAGGTGAGTTCTTCAACCCCCATTATGCAATGATTTTTATTACCATATCTACTTTTATAGACCTCCCTCCATTTTGCTTTAGTTGTTGGGTAATTTTGTGTACAAGGAAAAGATGTATGTTGAAATTCTTCCAAAATGGCTTATTTTCAAGACTGTTTTTTTTTTTTTAAAAGCACCTATATCGTTGTTGGTTGAGAAGCTCCAAGACTGGTGATGTGTTACACTGTAATTTTTAATTTATTTACTCTGTATATATTACAGAATACTTGTGTTACAAAACGTACAATTTACAACACAGTACTAAAATTGACTTATACTTGTGATTTGTTTCTGCTGATTTTTAATAGACTAAATGTTTGCATTCCCCAGGTTGTAATATTAATTCGTTTTACCTATTGTCATTCATTATATTTATTTAGTACAAACCGAGAGAATTTTGTGGTACATCAAAGCAATATTCGATACTCAAAGATCTTTACTCTCTTCATTGGTGATTAATTTTTCTTATTATATGGCTTGTGTTTGTAGCCCATATAACACATGCTCTGAGTGGCTCACTTTAGGGCAGTTTTCTCTTGTAATGCCCATGGGTCAGTAACAGGCCCTGCAAAGACAAAGCTAAAAGCCATATAGAGCGGTTTTCAATTGAGTGTCGTAAAACCAAAACCAAACCAATTACTTACCAATTAGACTACTCAGCCAATCTCAAACCGTAATAAAACCAAAACCAAAACCAAAGTAATTGTCTAATTACTTTCGACACTCAATTGAAAACTGCTCTAATAAACGACTTATTAACCTCGAACGCTCGATCTGTATGGGAAAATCTCAAACCTCAACCTTACGGAGTTGACTTAGCAATAACTTTGTCAATATGGAAAGGTCTTGGTTTGAGATTTTCTCGTAAAGACTGCGCTCTCGGTTAATAAGTATTTAATATATCACTTGTATCGATATTGCAAGGACAAAAATTAATTTCATTACTCTGGGGATGTGAAGGTTAAAATGTTGTCAATATTCTTTTGCAGGCCTTTCACCCTACTCAAATTTTTTTCTGAATTTAATCAAGTTAAAGCTGGCTAGTTAATCTGATGACTCCACATAGTACAGCACTATGGGCCATTTGAGTAGAGGATGTTCCAGTGTATAAAGACACTCATTCCTGGCATTGATAAGTCCTGAAAACAGCAGTTAAAAAGGCTATTCTGTAGAAAATTGTGGTATGGCAGGCTGCAGCTGGACTTTCATTTACACACAGGCTCAGTTTGTTTGAATTGCAAGGATGAAGACAGACAGTGCCAAGACCTATAGAACTCTATCAAAACAAACTGAAGGATATGTTATGTTTAAAAGGTCCACTTAATGAGACTGAGAATTCAGGGTACCTCTGGAATAGAAAGATTCCTCGTTATAGCCCAGTTTCTTCACAGGATCGATAACTCTGTCCACCAGATAAGTCACTGTCAAGTGGATCACATCATTTGCTAATGTCAATAATAACATGTACCCTCTTACCCTATCAGATAGCTGTAGCAACTCTGTGAACAGTTGGGGTCAGCTGGGCAATGATTCAGCTATAATGTGACAATTTTTAGAATTCAATCAAATGCACTTAACATACTTTCCCCCAGGGCTCATTAAGATAAGTAAACTTGTGATCTGCAGACTGGCTAGCAGAGACAATATTCCCAGACTATGAATCTCATAGATTTAATGGGGACTGTTTTCTAGGAAAGCCAAGGAGACTCCTTAGGTTAGTACTTGACAGCCCTGTCAGCTTTGTTATATACATAGGTTATCCTGGGTAAACAGAAGCAAGACCACCAAAGTTTAAAGTGTCTATATGGCCAATAGGGTTTTTGTGGTTTTGATATCTCTATAACATGTAAAAGGTATTCTAACTAAAAAATTGGGATTCTGATGCTTTTTTCAGATATGTCCAGGATTGAATGCTAATGAGATTCATATTTCTTATGATAAGCATCAAAAAGTGTCCTCAGTGGTAAAAAGTCACCAAAACACACACAATTCTGTTAAATATGAAGTTATATGAAAATGTCAAATAACCCTGCCAAATATGAAGTATTAATTAAGCAATACTTGCGTGTAATCCTGGACATAAGTGGCTTTTTTGTGCTATAAAATTGAGCTTTAAAGTTCCTGTTTTGGCCACACCTAATGAAGTTGACCGCATAATGAAAGATTTGTGATGAGTGATGTTATGTCAGGAATGCCTTGAAGCTTCTCTGTCTTTTTTGTTTTGCTTGCTTGATGACCACAGCACTTCACCACTGAACTTCTGTTTGTTTTTGCTAAAAGCTGTTCAACTCCTCACCATCACCGAAACAACAGTGACATGAACTAGGGCGATTTGGTGTTTCCTGACATGATGTTATGACCCATTAAGGAACCCAAACTCTTTTTTTGCACTGACCCACAGTGAACTTCATTGGGTGGTGACGAAGTGGGAACTTTAAAGCTCAATTTTAGGACAAAAAAAGTGTCCGAATCCAATTTTTTTTTCTCATAATACCTTTTTACACATAGAGATATCAAAACTACAAAAACCCTGTTGGTAGTATACAAACTTAAATGGAGAGAGCATTACAAATGCCGTTTTCAACCATTTTATGCTTCACCAGTGCAGGTTGCCACTTATACATGGGCTGGTCAGTTAAACATTTAATTTGCCTCTCCTCAGCTTATGGAGTTTATCATCTTTTAAACTGTTTGTAACTAAGTAAAGTAATTTATTGATCTTTTGATTTATCTTCATAATTCTTATCTTACGTAAGGCAAGCTTTTCAATATTATTACAGTCAACTGTTGTTGGGACGATCTAGATGTAATTAAATTACAGTAGTTCATTACTAGTGGCTGATTACATTAGTGGTAATTCTTTTGCTTTGTTAAACAAGAGGTTAATTGTTTGCTAGCATTCAAGGAGGGATTTTGTTAATATGTTATTTTTATTGGCATTTTGTCAATGCAGTAGAATGTAGCAAACATTTTATTCTCAGCAATGAAATGTTTGTGGCAATCTTTCTTTGCTTTCAGCAGGCTTAGAATGCAATGGGTTGGGTAGCCAGATTAACAATAACTTTTCATGTAGATAATATATTTTAATAATGAATAAACAATAGCCTCCATTTGGCATGAAAATATGCTTGGATATTTGTCCGCAGACATTATCTGTTCGGAGAGCAAACTGTGAGCTTCAAGGAACAGATAATGTTCAAGGACAAATATCTGAGCATATTTTCAAAGTCAAGTGGAGGCTATTGTGTTTATTATCCTTCAAGTATTTTTTTCATCTGCAGTTTCGAAAATCGGGGAATGTTCTCAGATATTCCCCAGTTTTAGCCGGGGAATATTCGGTCATGTGACACGTTTAGACCAATTGTGAATTAGCGAAAATATTTGATGGATTATAATAGTTCGCATAGATATAATTTATGTTATGCTATCATTGGGTCAGAACAATTTATTTGACCTTGTGAAGACACAAGCATACTAGCCTTTTAAATCTAGCTGTCATCAATGAAGACTCTGCACACTGGAATGTCGGGCCTCATGTGAGGTGATACTTTAGACAGGAAACAATGCAGTGCTGTCTGTGGAAGAAGCAGTTAGACTGCCATGTTTCTCATTCATTAGTTTCATTCCAGCTGTAATGATATAAATTAATCCGCCTTGTGATGTACAATTCTTATGCTATTTTATGGTTATGTTGCCATGAAGGATCTTGTTTATTTAAAAATGCATCTCTGCTAAATGTCGTGAAACAGGTGGTATTTCGATAAAGCTTGATGTTACAAAATTGTATTAAGTTAATTAATTGTTTTATTTTTGTAGAGAAATAATATTGCTTTTTCAATTCTGTTTTAAAAGGTTATGTTTAACCACTGTTAGTGCCTTGGGTGCTAGAGTACTTCTGTGTTTTTCATAGCCCGCAAATGCAGGTACATGTAGTTTGTCATGGGGTGAAAAATGGTCTGTTTGTACAGGCTAACCTTTTCAAGGCAATGTCATACAAGAGTGGATTCATCAGTTCCTTTGATGCACCATGATCCAGACAGATCTTGGATCACTGATCCTGATCCAGATCACCCCAAAGGAATGCACCCTAAGTCTTGTTGGTAATTCTTGAATGCACAAGACTAATCAAGGGCATCACAGGTATATTACTAGTGGATTTATGAATCAGTTTTATTTGGGTTCCTTGTAGGGCAGTAGGGAAAGAGTATTGGTGCCAGAAGCTAAGGACCTTTTTAGGAGCTTTTCTTAGAGCCTTTCATCAATTGGGTACCATGCTAGAAGGCCCTCCACTAGGGGACTAGGGGATGAGCCCAAAGAGAGAGCCAGCTCTCGATACCGTTTAAGGGGGTCATTACATTCGCTTGAGTTACAAGACCAGTGCAGGTCTTATCATAGCTATAAAAGACATGGCAGCTCCTTGAAAATGAAAGTCGGAGCTCTTGCAGTTTTTGCATAGAGTTTCACAAAGTTAAATACTGCAGTGGTACAATTCCTTTAGCTGCAATATATTAACTTATTTTCTATCAATGTTTAGAAGATTGTTGTTTGCAAAAGGCGTCATTTTGAGCTTGTTTACTTAATGGAACCCTAATAGCTCTGATCTCAACAATCTAGAGTAGATAATAATTTTAGCCTACATTAACATGTATATAATTGAAGACCTGACAACACTTTGTAGTTCACTGAAGAGGTTAGAGCAATTTAAATTAAATTCGAAAAATAAGACAAAACTTGTCATAGTTCTTCATACTTTTTCTAGGGGTCTTGATTCAATACTAAGAAATTAAAACACACCATCATGAAATTTGGACACAAGATTTATAGTGTATTTGTTTCCTAATACGAAGGCCACTTAATTCCATTCCATAGCCCTATATTTAATCGGAAGTGAAGGTTTGGTCTATAATTTTCGGTTTATTATATATATATTTTTGTATTCGTTTGTTTTGATTTTGAGACAAGTTTTCCTACCCTCTCACCTGGTTACCAAGTATGAAAAAGTTGTCCCTGCAGGCCGAGCTGGCCGAACCAGAAATAGGCGTTTCCAATGTATTCAAACTATCATCATAGCCTGAAGTTGGGCTGCCCCTCCAGCCCACTCACTTTGAAGCTCATGTTACCTTGGGTGACCCAGGTACACACTCCTAACGACCAATGGAGGCGGAGCAGAGAGAGCCTGGGAACGTGGTTGCCTGAGCTCAATGACGTACCTTGAGTCAGACGAAATAGAGTCCCCTTACAGGATCGATTTTGATTGGTTGAAAACCCGAACAATGAAAGTGACCGGAAGTCAAACATTAGAGACTCAATTGGGTAGTCCTTTCCCCAAATATCATGTAAAATCGCTTACATATCTTTTCGGAAATTCTCAAAAAATCTCCTAAATACCACCAAACATTTCTAAATATCTCGAAAAATCCTCTAAATATCTCTTATTTTTGTCGTGAAAGTGCACCGATTTTGAATCACTTAGGCCGAGGCGGGATTTAAGGAAGAAGATTCAGACGCTTCGAAGTCACCAGCATCCGCCATTTTTGAAATTCGCTAGCTGGCATTTATACAGTAAAGTCAATGTGAAAATACGAACAATTATATTATACTTAACAGTAAATCAAGACGTCAAGTAACAACATAAACACAAGAGAATACTCTCTAACTAAACAAAGAGTTTGGCTCAAATGGTGTCAATTTAGGCGTTATTGGTTCCAAACAGTTAACAGCACTTTCCAAAACTTAGATTTTGATGAGTCATTATTACCACTCTTTATCAGCTGATGCTACAATAATGAACTCAAAAAACTGCCCAATTATTGGTGAACACACTACTAACATTTTTGTGACACAATAGGTTACCATAGCAACAATATGACCTGCTAAAAATACCCTCAATTTTGACTTTAAGTGCTAATAACTCAACAACGAACCCGGTCACCCCCATCTTTTATCATCAAAATTTGATAAGCAGGATAAGACGCATCTTTGAGCCGTTTTTAAAACATCTGTACATAGAGTTCACCACCACCTTAAATTTTCGAAAATTTAAGGTGGTTCTTGTTTTTTTCGGGCTCCCGGTTGAGCGCGCGTCTAACGAGAGGACGTCGTTAATTTGTCAGCAGAGTTTTAAAAGAGCCATGATAGTAATAACTTTTGGGGGGAATATTGGCCTCGTTTTTTGTTTTGTTTTTTTGCACAAAAAGAACTCGACCAATATAGTTCAATGACATATATGTATCATCATTGTAGTTTCAAACTTAAACCTTTCTATAAATACTAACTGCTACGTCCTTACACTTTGCAGGGGCGTAGCCAGGGGAGGGTTCCAGGGGTCCTGGAACCCCCCTTTTGGGTTATGAAAATGAATATTATTTCAAGAGGAAAAAAGTATCGGAACCCCCCTTTCGAAATTCCGCGAGACGAGATTTTCGTTTTTGAGAAGAAGAACAAAAGAAAATCAATTTAAAAAGGCATCACATGCTCTATCGCAGGTTACAATATTATACGGATGCATAAATTGGCTATCACTTGTCCTACGTTTTGTTGACAGTGATGGATATATTCACGAGGAATTTTTAGGATTCAACAGTCTGCAGAGGATAACCGGGNACTCATTTTCAACTTTAACTAATGTTTATACTTAATTAATGTGCTCTCAGCAGCATATTGAGATTTCTGCAGGCATAATATTATCCACAAAACAGAAGTCTCATATTTTTATTTTTTTTTATGATAGAGAACTGGACAGAGCGAAGACTTCTTCGCACTAAATTTTTTATGTGTATTAAAACTGTATTTTTATCACAGAGAACTGGAAAGAGAGAAGACTTGTTTGCACTTAATTTTTTATGTGTATAAAAGATATTTTTTATGATAGAGAACTGGACAGGGCGAAGACTTCTTCGCACTAAATTTTTTATATGTATAACAAATATTTTTTTATGATAGAGAACTGGACAGAGCGAAGACTTCTTCGCACTAAATTTTTTATATATATTAAAAGTACATTTTTATCACAGAGAACTGGACAGAGCGAAGACTTCTTCGCACTAAATTTTTTATATGTATAAAATTATTTATACAACAAAATACGCAGAAAAGAGATTTCTTTGCCCAATTTTTTTTAATAGTAATAGAATGAAACAAATATTTTTAGTAAGAACAGAATAAAGTTTTACGCTCAAATTTTTTTATATAGTACAGTATAAACTTTTTTGCAAATTTTGTAAATATATTAATTCCCGCCTGGTGGCGATCATTGTACTGTCTGGGGTTGATTTAATGACAAATGAGTCCGCGCGACTCATGCTGTGTGGCTACTGTGTTGCTCAAAGCCTTTGTTTTGCTTTTACAAGCACTTGTTTCAGTGATTTTCCTTTTCTATAACAGATCAAGGGTAGCTCCTTGAATATATCTCTGAGTATTTGTATTTGAAAGCGCCATTTGTGCGTGATTATGCTTTCCAAAGTTTGATATTGACGGTTGAGTGAAATTGCCCGACTCAAAGGGTAGTAGTTCCTTCTGCAATTTTCGATTTCTGTTTAAGAGCTTCTTTTCTGTCTTAATATTTAACTTCTCGGAGGGTTTTTTCTACCATTTGCTCCGGGCAGCCTCTCGAGATCAGGCGTGTATTAAAATTTTCAATACTCTCTTCAATGTATTTCACAATAAACCTCACGCAAGCAAAAGGGAGTTTATCGGTAAATTTTATAACTTATTTCACGGTTATTCAAACAAAAACTTACATTTTCCATGTATCAACATTGCCAAAATCCACTTGCGACAAAACAACGGCGAAAAAGCGTTGATCTCTCCCCAAAACCATGTTTTTGGGCGTCGAAACAACTTTTCGCCATACATTTCCTTCTAGCGACTTGCAATCTTTGCCCCCTGACGATCCCAGAGTTCTTTTCGCCAACACGGGTATC